ATGTATAGTTGTTGACATGAATCACTTTGTACATAGATGGTGGTACAGCAAATTGTGGATATTGTTGTCGTAAGTGAAAATTTTCTTCAGCCTTGGTTAATTTTTGTATATGTTGTTGTTGTTGATACTGTTCACGACCATTTGAGTTATCATCAATATCACGTAAATAATGTGGAATAATTTTATCTGACATAGTAATGACTAGAAAGAGAAATAAAATAAACAAAATGAACATAAATAAAATAAAAATAACATATAACATCTTATTGGTTCATAGCAATAATCCCATCGATAAATCAATGTATAGATATCACTCATGGATGAAAGCACATTTTATACAATATATAGTTAAGAAAAAAAAATTCATAAGGAATAATCAGAACAGAAACATCCCTAAAGAGGAGTTTCCTGACATGTAATATAATGTCAATTTTTGTAATAATCAATTTTTGATAATGCTATCCATATGGGAATGATGATAACTATTGATAATTAATGCGCGCATATTAAAATATCAATTTTTCCACACACATTAATGAATCAATGTTGTCCCATGAAAGTCGTTGCGCATACGCCAAACATAGTCAAACATCAACCATTATAACATAACAAAACATATACATTATCATTAATTGATCATTAACAAAAATAAATACATTTAATTCAATATCGGTGTTTTAGAAATAATTATAGGTCGAATGTCATTAACATGCACTCTCGATTCGACCTGTGTTTCTTCATCTCTAACCCAATAAATTGGATGTTGTTTTTTAATAACAACTTTGGGTGTAAGTGAATATTTTGGATCTAATTTTGCTTTTGTTCCATGAATTTTAACCAATACCAAATCATTAATTTCATAATGTGGATCTGCACGTTGTTTATCATAACGATTCTTGTATCGTTGTTGTCGACTATTAACATTATCACGTGTTTGTTGTTGTATTATCAACAAATTCTTCTTTAATTGTTCGTAATAATCTTGTGGTTTATTAAATATGAACGATGTTGAAGGTTCATCTGTAGGTAAACGTGGATCACGGCCATATTGTAATTGAAATGGTGAATAACCAGTTGTTGCATGAATTCCAGTATTGTAAGCGAATACTACTGGTAATAAAAATTCGTCCCAATTGTTATTTTCACGATCTTGAAGTTTTGCAATTTGGGGAACAAATGTTGCATTGAAACGTTCAACCATTCCATTAGTCTGTGGATGGTAAACACTCGAAAAAATATGGTTATAACCAATTAATTTTGCCATTGCTTCCATTAACTGGTTCTTGAAGTGTGTACCTTGATCTGATAAAATAGATTTTGGTACACCATATCGGCAAATATATTCCTGGAATAATGCTTGTGCTGTAGTCTGTGCTGAGCAATCGGGTAAAGCAATTGCTGTCACCCATCGTGTAAAATAATCCGTGATGCATAACACATATAAATTACCACGTGGTGTTTTCTTAAACGGTCCACAATAATCGATACCAATTAACTGGAACGGTCCTTCTGGCACTGGAATTGGATAAAGTTGTCCTGGTTTCTTTGATCGATTAATATTGTATTGTTGGCAAGGTAAACACGATTGTATATATTTGCTAATCAATTGTTTCATTTTTGGCCACCAAAATTTATTTTTGATCTTTAAATATGTACGTCGAACGCCAAAATGACCACTAAGTGGATCATTATGGTACGATTGAAGAAGGGAGTTAATCATAGATGATGGTAAATAAATTAATTTTGTTTTTGTAGTGGAATTACTACGCATTAATGCCAACTTGTATAATATGCCATCTTTAAATACATAAGAATGTTTTGTTGAATCTTTCATAATTTCTTTAAGTTTATTTTGAATAACTGGATCTTTTGCTTGTTCAATTTTGATTTGAGTTATATCAAAATTATTAGATGTAATTAAATCTGACGTAACTTCATCTGAATGTTCAATTTTTTCTTGACTTGATGAAGATGATTTATCATTGGTAATTGATGGTATAGTTACATGAATTTGATCTTGTCGTTGTGCTATTTGTTTCATCTTGGAACGTGTAACAACAGCACCAACAATTTGAAAATTGTTTCCAGGAACATGCACCATTTCTGGTGGTTCCCCTTGAAATAACATGTTTATGCCATAATCTTCATCAAATATTTCTTCATCATTTTGTATTGGATGACGAGATAAATAATCAGCTAAACAATTGTGTTGACCTTTAATATGAATAATTTTTTCAATATTATATTCTTGCAATAAAATAGAAATTCGATCTACTCGTCGATTTTTTACCGATGAACTCATCATTTTGCATAAGGGACAATGATCAGTATAAATTATAATAGATCTTCCAAGTAAATAAGATCGCATTCGTTGAAAACATAACCATATAGCTAATGCTTCTAATTCAATAGGATCATATCGTCGTTGAGTAGGAGATGTAACTTGAGAATGATAATATAAATTTTTAATTTCACCATCAATATTTTGTTGTAATGTACCACCTATACCCACTTTCGATGCATCGGTTGTCAGTATAAGTGGATAATTATCATTTGGAAAATTAAGAAATAATGGAGATTTAATTAATAATTCTTTTAATTGTAAAAATGCTTGTTGTTGTGCATCACCCCAAACAAATTGTCTTCGATTTGGTTTGGTCAAATTTGTTACTCGATGGATGGGTGCTGCAACTGAAGCGAATTGAGGAATAAATTTTCGGTACCATGAAATAGAACCCAGGAACTTATTTGCTTCTGCTAATTTAGAAGGTTCCCTCAATTTAATAATTGCTTGAATTTTTTCATTATTAGGTTTAACACCAAATTCAGATATCGTATGAGATAGATAATCAATATGTTGATGAAAAATATTACATTTGACCGGATTAAGTTGAAAATTATGTTTTGATAAAGCAGCTAATACTTGTGCAAGATGATTGAGATGTTCTTCAAATGAACGAGAATATACCACGATATCATCAATATAAACCAACGAGAATTCCCGACATGGTGATAATATATCAGTCATTACTCGTTGAAAAGATGGTGGACTATTCTTAAGACCTTGAGCCAGCACATTCCATTCGAAGAGACCGTCTGGAGTAATAAATGCAGTTTTAAATTTGTCTTCTTCTTTAATTGGAAGTTGCCAAAATCCACTCTTCATATCAAGTTTAGAAAAAAAATTATAGCCACCACCTAATAATTGTATTGCTTGTTCCATATTAGGTAATGGATGATTATCTTTAATGGTAATATTATTTAATTTCTTATAATCGACTACCATTCTCCATGTACCATCTTGCTTAGCTACCAGTAATGCTGGTGCTGCATATGGAGAATCAGATGGACGAATTAATCCAAAATGCAATAATTCTTGTACTATTTTATACATTTCTTCTTGTTTACTTGGAGTAGAATAATATGGTTTAGATACTGGTGGAGGATGGTCAAGCGTTTTAATAGCATGAGATGTTACATTACTAGCAACTGTTAATTTACTTGTGTCAAATAATTTTGCATATTGATTAAGAAGAGTTTTTACCCTATCTTGTTGTTCAGGATTATCAATATGTCGAATTAAATTATTAATGTTCTTATGTACGATTTGATGATCAGTAGTTGAATTTCTTTTAAAAGACAATGTAGGAATAGTTGTTGTTCCCAAAATAATTCCTCTTGGTAAAGAATATGAGTAAGTTGTTGGATTATGAAGTGAAATAAATGATGTATGATGATGAATAGTTAATGCAGAATTTAACATAACGACAGGTGATCGTTGTTGTAATTTAAAAGATGGACGAAATAATACCTGAGCTGACGATAATTCTACCGATACAGGAACTGTTACTGTTTGCTTTGGTGGAACCCGAACATTATTAATTAAACGTGCAGGATATCTTATATCGTTTTTATTAATAGCAAATTTCAATGTTGTTCGTTTATAATCATCACTAATTGAAACTATTTGTTCTTCTGTATTAATAATTAATTTATATTTATTAATGAAATCCATGCCTAAAATACAATCAGCACATAATTCTTTAACAACAAATGCTTTAATAGAAGTTAACATATCACCCATTGTAATAGATAGAGTCATTGTACCAAAAACAGAAAGAGATGTATGACCATCAGCTAAAATTATACGACTATGTGATTTATTAACAAGGTGCTTACCATAAGATGGATCTAATGCTTTAATTGAAATAAAAGATCGATTTGCACCTGTATCAATCATCACCTTCATTTTTTTATTATTTACAATAACATTAAGATATAGTAGAGATGTATTTGGTGTCGATGGATTGTTATATAAAGTATTGGAAGCAACACCACCGATCATTGCCTCCTTTACCCGAAATGGGTACGGGTACAATCCCGAGCATAGTGTCCAGGAGTACCACATTTATAACAATTATTTGATTGCGATGCATATTGTGGATATCTGGCAGGATCATAATTCCGAATCTGTTGGTTCGAATTTTGTGCATAATGTTGATGATGTTTCCGATATGATTGTGATTGTAAATGTTGAGAAGTATTATGGCGAGTTTTATTAATAGATTTCTGTGAAATATTTGGTCGTGTTGATGGTTTTTGAAATGTAGCAGCATTGATATTAATGTTATTTTGTTGCACTTCATTGTTTGTACTTGTTAATGTTAATGTATCTTCAACTTTTCTAGCAATCGATAAAAATGCATCTGGTGTTTTTGGATCCTGTAATGCAACATGTATTTTTAATGATTCTTTTATACCAGCCATCAAATATTTTAATTTTAATGAATCAGGCATAACAAGATCAACTTTCTTACATAATTCAATGATTTTATCATAATATTGTGTAATAGATTGATTAACCGTTTGTTTGTACCATTTTAGTTGTTCAAAAGCTAATTCTTGTACCTTTGTTGATCCAAAAGCCTTTGTAACAGCTTCAGTAAATAATGACCATGATTTAATCGTCGTAGATGTTTGTGTCCACCATCGATATGCATCATCTTGTAAATGGATTGAAATATATTGTAATTTTTGTTCATTATTCCATTTTGCCATTTGAAAACGTTGTTCTAATTTTTCTAACCAGTCATGAACGTCATCTTTTGAACCACGAAAATATGTTGGTTTTTTAATAATTTCATCGGCAATTGTTCGTTGTAAATGTGATGTAGATGAAGAGCTAGAAATTAA